GGGCAAGTATCCGGACAGCTCACGGTTACTGAGCTGTCCGGATACTTGCCCAGAGCGGTTGCGAAACTTGATCATGTCGAACTAGCATCCGATGACCAAGCAAGCGGTGAGGGCATACATGGAACGTCTCCATCTCCCTTTTGACAACGACGGCGCTATACTTTCTACTTGTTACTCGATACTGGAATCGATGTTTGATAGGAGGAGGGGACATCACGCCCCATCCTTCTCCCACGGCTTCTTCCTCTTCGGCTTACTAGCTTCCGTGCCTTGGCCTTCTAGTACCGTCGGCGGGATCTCTTTGATACCCGGTACGGGCTTTCCGCTTGTGATTAGCTCGACAATGTGAGCGAAGGATGTGGGGTAGGGTGCTGGTGGTTCGGCTGTGGTTGTGGGTGGGGGCATGATGCCACTTGGCGAGCTGCTTGGAGGGAGGTCGCTGGCTATGGGGAGGCTTGTTGTGGATGCGTTGGGTGTGGTGCCCGCTGGGAGCATCTCGTCTACCACGGAGGAGGCGAGGACGTTGTGGGGGGTTGGTGGTGTGGGTGGGGGGCGGTTGCGGGCGCTGCGGTAGGCTTTGTAGGCGTTGAAGTCGATGTTTTTGTTGTACTTCCTATGTCATGTCAGTACATAACCCCCTCACTGTCTCTAGTGCTAAAGTCGTACCTTGCATAGTAAAAACACCGCGCCCGTAATGCTAGCTCGGTCGTCTGTTCTGGCGTGCTATTGCTGCCGATGATGGCCTGCAGACCTGCCTGAAACTCGATGTCATCGTCCCAGTTGTAGCGATCCAGGGCCTCGTAGATGTCGTTTAGCCCGTCGTCGGTAACGCTCATAGTGGGGGCTTTGGCAACCTGAGAGCCCTGGGAGAAAGTAGAGTTCGGAAGGGTGATACAATTCACGACCTCAAGGGTCTAAAGTCCACGAGTTCATGGGTGACAAAGTATGGGTGCAGTTGCAACCCGAAGAAGACTGCAACGGTGGTACGTGTGGGGTAAAGGCAGCCCGAGGTGCCAGGTGGATGAGCGAGGCTCCAAGCTTCCAGACTACGCCTCGCTAAACGTGCGCCAAGTTTCTGCAGCTTCAGCCCACGACCACGGAGCTCTCCAACCTTCTCTCACCCCTCACTCCTCCACCAACCACTTGCACCCTTCCCAACCACTTTCCCGCCTTCTTTTCTTGTTCATTGAGCTTCAATTCCTTCGATACCCGTTTTGATACCCACGTTACACAGCCATGTCCGAGTTCATCGGGTTAGTCGCAGCTCTCCAATTCGAGCTGGAGCTCCAGCTGACGTCGGACGCGTAGATCTCGCATTTCTCTCATCTCCAAGAGTGACATCCGGTGAGTCCTCCATCGCGTGAATGCATTGCGCGACGCGACTAACAGCCCCCAGCTATGTCGGTACTCTCGTCGAGATCAACTCAGAAGCCTCCACAGTCTCATTAGACAATGTGCGCTCCTTCGGCACAGAGGGCCGCAAGGGCGGCAAAGACGAATACCCGCCGTCAGACGTCGTATACGAGCAAATTGTCTTCCGAGGCAGCGATGTGAAGGATCTGCGCATCGAAGAGCCTGTCAAGGAGAAGGCTCAGCCTGCCATGCCGCAGGACCCAGCCATCATCGGAGTAAGTCTACACAACTACCCTTTCCTTTCTTTTTCGATGATGTAAAATTTTCGGATGTAAATCATTTAAACCACCGAGAGCGCAAAACCGTGTGGATATCTTCCGTTGCCTTCCTTCTGAGATCCTATACCCAACCTGCTTCTTCTACCTACTATTCGAAGCCAAAGCTGACGCGACGCATGCGCCACAGGTACAACAACCCCAGTCGCGGCAAGAGGGCAGTCCACAAGATCTTGCCGGTCGTCAGCAACCACCGCCGAACTTTCCTCAACCAGGTCAATTCCCGCCTGGTGGATACCCTCCGTTCGGTGGCCCTGGCGGCCCTGGTGCATATGGAAATAGATTCGGTCCTCCAGGTGGTTTCCCTGGTGGTCCTGGTGGCCCAGGTCCTTTCCCTGGAGGTCCACCAGGCGCGTTTGGCATGCCGCCGCCTCCATTCGGAGCGCCTCCTGGCTGGTTCCCTCCTGGTCACGGCTTCCAGCAGCCACCTGGTCCCTTCTCGCCTAACATGCCCATTGGCCCTCCCGGCTTGAACCAGAACCAACCTCCACAAGGCCCTCGGGGTCCTCAGGGTCCTCAAGCAGGCAAGGATGAGAAGCCGGGTCAGGTCCAGCAACCGAAGGTAGCAGAGGCAGACGGGGCATCATCCAAGCCACAACCTAAGAACGGCGCGAAGGCATCACCGGCTGCAGCAGGCAAGCAGGCTCCCCCGCCACCAGTCGACTCGAAGCCAGATGTATCGGCTGCATTGGCACCACCCCACCCCCAGAACGGCCAACCACCCGCGAAGGGTGCGCCTAGCGGACCCAAGGGTGGTCGAATCATTCCCGCTGTACCGATCCCAAGCCCAAGGGCGACGAAGGCGGCGCCTCAAGCACAGCAAGGTGCCGGTCCCTCTGCCGCTCCTGCACAAATGCCCACCGCTGCCCAACAACAGAACGCTACTCAATTAGCAACCGCTGCTGTCGCTGAGGCCATGGCCAAACTCAACCTACAGAACAAGGGTCAGGCACCAGGTCAACCGCAAGGTCAACCGCCTGTCTCGGACCCGATGAACAACTTGGCACAGCAGGTGCAAGGCATGCGCGAACAGCAAAGCCGCCAGCACCAGCCTCGTCAGCGAGGAACAGGAGAGTTCCGTGGTCGGGGCGGAAGGGGAGGACGAGGTGGTGCTCATCCTCAACACCCCAAGATGGAAGTGCCCACAACGGACTTCGACTTTGAGTCGTCCAACGCAAAGTTCAACAAGCAGGACTTGGTCAAGGAAGCCATCGCGTCCGGATCGCCGATGGGCGATGCCCCGGCAGTCCCTGCTGGCGAGGCTTCCACAGAGAAGGAAGAGGTCGTTATCCCTGGTGGATCTATGTACGACAAGAGCTCCTTCTTCGACAACATTTCGAGCGAGCTGAAGGACAGAGAAGAGGCTGCCACCCGTGGTCAAGAGTTCAGGAGCCAGGAGCGCCAGAAGAACATGGAGACCTTTGGCCAGGGCAGCGTCGATGGCTACCGAGGTGGTCGAGGACGTGGCCGTGGACGCGGACGCGGTCGGGGCTTCGGCTACCGCGGTCGTGGCGCACCCAGAGGTCGCGGCGGCGCTGAGTTTGGTGCCCAGCCTGCCGCTTAGTGGGCGGGAGGACCTGCCAATCCAAACTCATATCTCAGCCTTGGGGGCGTCGCGCTTTACTAGCATTTCCTTTTCGTCCATCTATGCAGCCTTGTGCATAGCTTCCAGCACGGCAAGCGTCTTTTGTGTCTTTTCATCCCCCTAAAGCCCTATGGGCACGACTCTCTTGCGTTTTTCTAGGGTGGCATCTTATCTGATTTGCTCCGCTTTGTATTTGTAGATCTCCATCGTGGCGACGTGAAGCGGGGGTTAAAAGCTGGGAATACTCGGGGGTGTGGTATACAGGACTGGGCCTGAAGGCATACGTGCTATGACATGCAATGAAGATCATGAAGACTCACATCTGGTGTTTTGGTGTTTGTGCTATTTGACGTTGAGGGTTTACCCTACAGTGTGAAAGGTACTACAATCGCTCAACATGTATTTCTCATTACTAATCTACTATACACAGCAGTTCTGACAACCACCGATATTCGCCCTGCCCATGACATCGCTAAATGAATATATACCGTGAATAACAACCAATCTCTCCCGCCTCCCTACACTTCCTCATTCCTCAGCGGCTATCAAAGTTTCTTAATAGCATCATTCTCCGCCTTATTGCTCTTACTCCAGGCCTTCATCCTCGCCGCCTTGACCACCTTATCTTGCGCCCTCTTATCCTTGTCCTTCTTCTTATCGTCGTCCTTCTTCTTCTTCTCATCTTGCTTCTTCTTCTCATTAGCCAGGTTGATGCAGCGTCGGCATACGTCTTCGCCCTGCCTGTCTACTTCAGGAGGGTTGCGGCAGGGTCCCGCTGTTGCTGCGTTGGAGCATGGTTCGAGGGAGTGTCTTATCTGCAGAGGTAGAGTTACGAAGTCAGTATATGTCTCACACGCACTTCGTACGGTCAGAACTCACCTTCATGTAGGGTCTGTGTAAGGGGCCGCAGAACTTGCAGAGGGGGCAGATTTCTAGAACCATTTGGCACATGGTTGGGGGGTGGGGTGGGGGGCTGGTTGGGGATGTGGTTGTGGTTGTGGTTGTGGTTGTAGGGGGTTTCAGTCCTGCTGAGGTCTGGTATGAAGTATCAGAGAGGTTTGTTGGGTAATTGGATGGATTTTTTTGACTTGTATGTTGTAAATATAGTATAGATATATCTACTAAAGGCTCTCGTGATGTAGTGTTTATGCAGACAAACTCTGGGGACAAATATAGCAGATTTATATACACACGAGGACTCATATACACATGAGGACTCATATATACACGAGGACTCATAAACACACGAGGACTCATATACACACGAGGACTCATATACACACGAAGACTCATATACACACGAGGACTCCTTGACTATTCTTCATTGTGGACTGATCCAAGTCTCTAGTTGTTACAAGAAAGCGATCGAGAAAGGAACAGCGAATTGACAGATAATGGTGTGATTCTATACTCACTGTGAGGTGCTCGTATCACGAAGCGCGAGAGTGATAAGACCTTGTGCAGCATTGTGACGCAGGCTACTAAAAACTTCAAATGTGCATGCCAAAATGATGAATGTGGTGTACATGAATCTGTCCACGCTTCTATGTTCATTGAGAGTTCAGATGGTTGTTAGCAGTAGCGATTGTGCAGTGTTGTCAAAGACTACCCGCATCTGCCGTGACCTCAAATCCCTTAATTGAAGGCTATTGTATACTAGTTGAGCTTAACGATTGCATTGAATATGCTCGGGGTCAAGTTTTGGCACGATGTATACTATGCCGGCTCTTAGCTCACATCGTTTCGGTTGACGGGAGGGTATCACTCAGGTCCTCTGCTCTCGTCCAGTGGTTTTGCGAGGATCCACAAATAACCTTGCAATTAGCTACCCAGCCACTCACAACTCGCGCAACTCAAATAGAGGATGAGTTCCCTGGTCTTGGCTGCTGGTGACGTAGGAGTTCTATTCGAAGTACCATAGGCCCACAGCAACTGAGATCGTAAGACAAGGGTCCAGCCATGACCTCGAGTGTGAGTGGCGCCTTCCGCTTCTATCACTAGCCTACTCGAGTAGTAACTGCTTTCGTGGAGCCTCCGACATACCATCTTCGCAACTTCCGCAAAGGCTCTGTCTTCAGTCATCACCGTTGGTGTTTCAGTCAAGCAACAGCTTGCAGCACTTCCACGCCATGGACACCGAGATGACATTCCCAGCACCTGCAGCCATCCCCGACACCATTCTTCGCGACCACTTTACTTCAAAGCCTCGATGCAATGGCAATTACATTTATGCGACATCGATCCACATCAAGTCCAAAGCCCAAGCCACAGCCTTTGCGCGCACAATCCACATCCAGCCTCCCAATCGCACCCTTGTCATCTGGATCAACAGCAGCGTCAGCGGTGACCTGCGCAACGAACCCTGCGCGATATCAATCGGCTACAACTCACCTACAACTTCCGCCTGGACCGCCCAAGTCACCATCGCACACTACACCAACGCAAACGAGGCCATCCTACTATCCATCGGCGAAGCCCTCCGCGTCGCCGCATCTCCCACGATAACCGAGCACATCGACCGCGTGCTCGTCTTTTCAGATGTGCAACGCGTTTTGAAGAGTATGAGGATGGGCCATCCGTTTGGGTTGGTGAGGGATAGATGGCTTGTTGACGACATACCCCGTCTCACCAAGCAACTAGCGGAGAAGAGCGTCGAAGTGGAGTTTCACTGGTACCCTCCAACTCCCACGATAGGACCTCAGCAATGCATACGTCAGACTTCGCAGCGGTTCAAAAAGCTTGCTCTAGCCGAATATCCCGCGGTGTTGCTTGATCGGAGCGTTAGTTTTCCGCCGGTGAGACTAGAAGGGGCACTCGTCACGGGAGGTGCGGGAGAAGACTTCATGGGTGGTTGGCTAGGCGCTGCGCTGAAGGATGTAAAGGTTCTGCCGCGAAGGGAGTTGAGTCGTGACCTGAGGGTTCAGGCTAGGCAGGCTATCAACCAGAGGAGGAAGGAGAGGAAGGAGAAGGCGAGGGCGAGGAGAATCAAGGATAAGGCAGAGAGGGAGACCAGGAAGATTGAGAAGGAGATGAGGAAGTTGGCGCGTAAGAACGGAATGGAAGTGGAGGAAGAGGAGGTGCTGGGTTTGGTGTGTGACAGTGAGATGAAAGTGGAGAAGCAGGAAGTGCTGGGTCTGGCGTGTGACAGTGAGATGAAAGTGGAGGAGCAGGAAGTTCTGGGTTTGGCAGATGACAGCGTAGCGACTACATACGAGCTTGTGGGAAAGATTGAAGAGCAGGAGAGGCAATGTATGCTCGTGGAGGGGTTTGAGAATATGGATTTGGTATGATGCTACTGTGGTTTGAGGAGCTTCTTTCTCCATGTATGCAGTTAATTCAGCTTAGCTATCAAGTTCATTCCAGTCTCTTATCGCTCCCGTAGACTACACCCCTGCAAGTATCTCTGATATTCTGACAGCATTCCGAGCTTTTTGCATACCTTAAATCTGCGTGGTTGAATGCCAACAACATTTGTCCTTGACCGCTTATCTGGTGGCGCGATCGCAGAATTCAACATCCGTCATATGTACCGGAACGGCTATAACCTGCTCTCCTCCACGTATACTCCAGACTGATCCATATGAGTAGAAGTATCGCGGCCATCGGTGGCCATCCTCATCGAAGCTAGGCCGTTCCATGCCGTCCAAACCGTCAGGTGAGATGACCAAAGTTCTGAGTTTGGACCCACGTTGGGCGAGGTAGCGAAAGACTTCCGTCGCAAATTTTTGCATCATTACCTGCGAGGTGTGAACATAATCTTCCGTAAGAGTGACACGGTCCCGGAAACTTGGATTTGGCATTATCCCACAATCGATGTAGGGAACTGTGAGTATGCGCAGTGATTTGAGACTTCGGTGTCTCGCGATACAGTCCTAATTCTTTGGTGAGCAACGATTCTATACCTAAGGGGGTAATACATACCAGATAAGACGTCAATTCACCGTGTTCTTCACCAGCTTGCGCAGGCAACTTGAACTTGGCAGCTAGGTACTGTACAGGACCAAGACTGACCGGACAGAGGTTGACTGCCAGCTTTTCTAACTCAGGCGCCTGAGCGAGTATTTTAGCAAGGTCGGAGACGGTGTAGTAGGCCGGTGGTTGCAATTTGGATGAAGCCGCCAAAGTCAGCTGCCGCAAGGACTTGCTTTGTCCACTCAAACACGATACGTCGACCGCACGCCCCCTGCCCACATCTAACCACACCTTCACCAGTGAGGGAGCGGAAGACACCAGGGCCTCAATTGCGTGTGTGTCCCTGTCTAGCGGTACCATCTTACGTCTCAGCGATATCTCTAACTCTCTCAGCGCGGTGGCTCGCGGGACTGCTGCGACGAGAGCAGTGAGAAAAGCTTCGGTATTGCGGCATTGGGTGACATAGAGAACGCGAAGATTAGAGAATTTGATGCATGCAAAGAAGGATGCGGGGTATGGCCAAAAGTCTAGCCATAGTAGGTGAAGGGTATGCAGCTGTGGCTTCGGAATAGCTGCCTCCTCAGTATACGGCCCTCCGAAAACGTCGTGCTCGTGTGAGTGGTCCAGAAGTGAGGCAACCTTACTTGCGCCTTTAAGACATAATGACCGTAGGTTTGGTGTGCTTTTGAAAAGGTAGGCGCTATTCTTGTATGCGTGGGAATCCTCAACGGAGAGGGGAATTCGGAGACTCCTGATGTTGCCGAGTATGGGTGTAATCCAAGAACAATGTATTGCAAGACCTATATTGAGAGCGGCGCCTTGATCGGGGATGATACTTCGAGGCCGAAGTATTTGGAGCGATTGCTGGTTTTGCAAAAGACTTAGCACGATAGACATCTTGATCCTGATGCCGATCATGATACCCGTGAGACAGTTCTTTGTGAGAGCGCCAATGATGAGTCTGACGACAAGTCCAAATTCAGAATTTAGGTCGAACTCCACATTGCCCTTCATTTCGGTGTAGATGTCAATGAAGCGCACGTGGGCAAGCACTCCGTTGTCTGCGCTCAGCAAAGAAGCCAGATCTCCTGGTAAGGTGGTACCTGCTCTCAACCTGAGGTTTTTCCAGAGTAGCGGGCCCATCACGGCTCTGAATTCGCGGCTTACCAGGCAAACCGCTCTTCTGTGACGGTTTTGACGGATGTAAGCAAAGACGGCCGCCTTCATCTCAGTCGGGAGGTCCGAAAACGTAGCCATGACGCCAGGGCTGCCGGCGCGAGAGGATAGAAGCGCCTAGTGTGGATGAATGGGTGGAGTGTAAATCAGTTCGGGTGAGCTTGCTCTTTCCAGTCGGGTGAGTGGGTCGTTCATAGAGACGCTAGTCCTGATTAGGCCGTGCCCTGAATCCACTGCGCCCTGGTGGTCTTCAGAGAGATTGCCGCTTCCACTTGCCATGTACCGCGTTGCTGAATACACTGTGTTATAATCTGATAAACGTACGCTACTCAAGACAATGTGGTCTTCTGATACGACCATTCCATTTAGGTTTGGGTATCGCTTCGAAGCCTTCGTTAGGTACTAATCGTGCTGCATTCTTAAAAAGCGGGAAAACTATAGTGCGATTCCATCTATTGGTTGCCATTCACTTCATTCTATGGTACCGCGATGACGCAGAGCGAAACGAGCCACTCACGACTCCAGCAACACACACGAGATATTCTCACGGATGAGAGAAATCGCAAGTATAATACGTTGCGTTCATTAATTCCTACTGCTGCATTACAGCGAATATCAGGTGTTTAGGAATTGCACCTACATTGAGATCACCTATATAGAGTCACTAGACCGCGTTTTGTTGCCCTGCTCTGCATCAACATTCTACCGTGATACATTGCGTTCAAAGGAAACACCAAAATGAAGCTTTTCGCCGGCTAGATGCAGCTCTCAGCTTTCTTCCCATTCTACCGCAACCAGAACGTGGTCTCTGCCATTCTACAGGTGGAAGGAGATTGACAACATCATTGTGTGCTACAAGGACAGGCTCGTAGTGAACGTGGATATTTATTCGGGTTTGGTTCTTGGGTGGATTCCCCGGCTACTCATGAGTGACGACTAGTTCGCCCAGCCGGCGATGTTAGAGGAGGGGATGGGAGGCGCGACTTTTGCTCCGTACTGGCCTTTGTAGTTACCCACTGGCCTTTGTGGTTACCCGATGGAGCGTGATTGCAGACGGTTCATGTTTGAACCTCTCCATCCAGTCCTGTCGACCTAACTCGTTGATCAAGAGAAGGAATGAATAGAGTGCGCATTTGACTCAGACTGCGGTCCAGTCCTTTGGGCAGGTTATTAAGATAGTACTTTGGTATACGGTATAATTGCGATAGCTTTAATGTTGTTCGCTGGAGTGTTGCTGGTCTGGTGCGTCACCGTAGTACCATGGTCGTCGGCGAGGCTGATGATTCGGATCAAGAGGAGGCTGTCCAAAGAGAGACTGCGCAAAGGCTCTTGGAGATACGATACTTCTCTCTTTCGTCGAGTATCTCCTCGCGTAAGAATCATATGAAATGCGGGAGGTGTGGTTGACTCGTCTTCTCTGGGTCGCCTCTGGGACATCGCAAATGTGCAGAACGACATCTGGAGGAGGTTAGAGAGGATTATGATAAGAGTGAGAAGATCAGGGGCGACCGAGCTTGAGACCCTTGCTCGATGGCGAAGTATTTCCGTCCAGCTGCCAGTCCGATGTCTGGAGGGGGGTAGAGTTTTTCCATTATGGCCAAGCTCACGGTCGTCCTCAGAGCTGTGGCAAGAGGCTTTGGTACCGGCGATTTCTCCTTCATGAGGCCCCCGTTGGGTACAGCCGGCGAACGATGGGGATACGCCCCACTAGGGGTAGAGGGCACTTGAGACGAATGGATATCAAATACGAAGGAAGGCGCTGTGTGGCAGTTCCCAGACAAAGTAATGGGTAGAGAAGCTTGGTAGAAGGGGGAAAGTGGGTTGCTGTTACCTTTAGGTGTTGTTCGATACGTCAGCCCGCCATGGCAAGCGCCGACCTCGCCCCTTCGTTCAACAAGATATCCACCCACGCCTTCTCGACTTCTCAACGTTGGTCTCTACCGACTCAACCTCAGCCTCGTATCTTCGCTACCTCGGGTCCGTCGAACTGCTCGGTAGAGACGACACAGCCTTATCGCATGGGCAGTCTGCGGGTCGCTTCGGTGACGAGCTTCGCCATAGAGTGCGCCTTCAACACAGACTGCGGTCTGGTTCTGGATCGGACTGTTTATCAATCGCAAGGGCAATACGTACGCTGACAACGTGTCGCGTGCTCATACCATGACCGCGATTCGATCGCTTCCCAGCCTCAATTCCGTTCCACGGTACTGCAACAACCAACGCGCGACGAACCAGTCACGTTCCCTGCAATCCATACATTTCTGACGAGATTGGTTGGTATTTCCAAATGATAACCGTCATGAGAGCAAGTAAGTTTGGGCTTTGGCTTCAGCTGATTTGCAGAAATCTCAACCAGAAACCCCATCCATCCCTCGCTTACGCTAGTATTTATATGCTGATTCGGAAACATTATAAGACAACTCACTTTCAACAGTAGAACTCTAAACAGTTCACTCCGAATCTTCTCCAAACATTTCCACCAGCTTTCCATTCGAAAATGAAGTGGTCTATTATTCCATTCCTGGCTTTCTTGGCCACCTACATTCATGCCGCGCCAGTCGGCACCGAAGCGGCTGCTCCCAAGCCAGTAGCCGAGCGCTATCTCGAGGACCAATGCAAAAGTACGTACTCGTCCCTTCATCATACCATCGTAGATCCGCGCAAACGCTGACTTGGGCTTCACAGGTTGGCAGCGCGCAGCTATTCAAACGGCACGAGGTCAGTGCGTGTAACTAGCATTGCGCGCTGCCGAAGCCGCATATGAAGACTCCAGGTTTCCGGCCTACTTCCACTCGGATTCGTCAGAAATCAGAGAGTATGTTGCTTCCCGTTTCCGCGCAGTAGCAAAGGAATGCACCAAGCCACGCCTGGGTTATCACTGTTCTTGGAATTCCGACCAGTGTAAGGCCGGTGTAGTGGCATTCTATACGCGTGTGGGCAGCTTTGTGACGATCTGCCCGTTCTTCTATGGCATGCCGCTAGTGAACAGGGAAGGCATAAACGGGGACCAGGGCACCGTACTTCTACACGAGTTAACGCACAGTCCCGTGATATATCATCCTGGCACGCACGATTTGGAATATGGCTTCCATAACACGACGGAGCGAGTAAAGACAACCGAGGCGGCGCTGAGCAATGCAGATTCTTTTGTGGTGTTCGCACAGGGTAAGCTCATATGCCCACACTGTATAGACTATGCTAACTGTGCGAATAGACATGCTTTACAACTCCTACTCATTGAATGGGCAAGTAGTGGACTGTTTCCCTGATCCACATCTTTGTTATATCGTTCCTCTCGAAAAAAGAGAAGTATCGTCAACACAAGAGCTTGGCGTTCAGCTCACTGTTGCGGGTAACTCCGCCGTCAAGGTCGTAGTGACGAACAACGGCGATATGGCTTTGAACCTTCTCAGGAGAACCACTCTCTTCGATGAGAAGCTACCCGTCGAGCGCATCTCGATGTTCGCTAGCAACAGTTGTAAGTTCTACTTAGACTCACCGAATCCAACGCGACTGAAGACAAACTATTACTGACCTACATTCAGCTATCAAGGTTCCTTTCGAAGGCATCAGCGGGGTTTACCTTGATACCGATAACCTGTCCACAGACGACTTCCTTGTTCTTGAAGCTGGAGACAAGAAAGAGTTGACGATTGAAGCTGCCTCTCTACACGATCTCAGCAACGGCGGAAGCTTTGATGTGTTCGCGAACGGCATGCTGCAATACGCCAACACCAACTCGACCGAGCTTGTTGGCCATCTCCAATACAGCTCCAACAAGCTCAGCATCACTGTCAACGGTACCGAAGCGGCTACTCACAAGGCAGTAGCCGAACGTGCAGCCGATCCCTACTTTTGCCGACGTACGTACTCCTTTCCATCACAGACTCGCACAAACGCTGACGCAGGCTTCATAGCTTTCATGAATGATATGATCGCCGAGGCACAATCGAACTGCCAAAAGCTAGCATTGGGAGCAGCAGCTGCAGCTCGAGCCGGCCACCGCCATCTCGAAACCTTCTTCCACTCGCGAACACAAGCTACGAAAGATGCGGTTTCTGCCCGATACACCGCAATAGCACAAGAGTGCGCCAAACCTAGTGCAAGCTTGAATCTCTACTGTCATGACCGTCTCGGCCATTGTAACGGTAACCTTGCATACTACGGCCCGATTGGTCTCGGCATCACGTTCTGCGCTAGTTACTGGGACCTGCCGGCAGTAGCGAAAGGGCAATGTTCAGCCAAGGATCAGGGCACTATACTTCTGCACGAGATGACGCATTCTTCAGAGGTGTATAGCCCTCCTACCAAGGACTGGGCTTATGACTATCGGCCTTCCGTTAAGCTGTCTTCCGGGAAGGCACTGAACAACGCAGATTCGTTCAAGCTGTTTGCAAACCGTAAGCTGATGTCCTTCTACGACCGATGAACTATACTAACTATGCCGATAGACGTTCGTTGGGGCTGCTAATCTCGGAGAACGCCAATGGTTTTGAGACTTCATATGCGCAGCCGAGTCTTGAACACTGGCGTTGGAGAAGATGTAGACGCCCGCATCATGCAAGATTAGGATGTTTGTCTCGCCAGGACATATCGTTTTCGCCATGTCAGACTACGAGGGACGCCTGCTACTTGTCTTCGTGAATTGAAGGTGTTTACGACTCTTGGGATTTATTCTTGTGTTCTTCGCGCTCGGGAGGGGTATCTCATAGAGTCAAATCTTATGATAGAGGATGATCGAGTGTATATCGTTGGTGTTTTGCTGGATAAGAATCAGATTTCCATTGCCAACACACTAGACACCAGCCTTCCACCTACAGGTACCTAATCGTATCATTGTCTTAAACGCGCAAGATCTGAGTTACTTAGGCATCGCACCCTCGTACTTCTTGCTCTCTTTGCTTTGCCTGATTAACAGCCGCGTGCCGCCTTCTTATCTATCTCTCGACCTTTGCAAGCATGCGAGAAGCCTTGCCCTGGCTAAACTACAAACAATGAACATAAGTGTCTAAGACGAAGGTGACATCTCAAACATACCCAACCTGCAAGCGAGGCATCCGTAAAGAACATCAGGCGTAACGCATACTCAAATCAATCCTACAACTATAATATCTCAAGGACTATCTGCTAATCCAATTCACTCTTCGTAGTCTCAGACAGACTGCTTCGAAGCCCAGCTATTTCACATAAGATCGACTAAACAACGTGTCTTCGGGCAGAGCGCAAGCCGGCAGAGGAACGGCCGCGACTCTCCCTGCGCCCATCGCATCGACTGTACGACCGCGGGTATAGAAATACCGGGGCCATAGATGGCCGTTGGTATCTTTTCTTGGTCGGGCTTTAGGCATGTACTCGGCGGAAAACCCGAACAATGTGATACCAGAACTAAGCTTGTCGAGGAAACGGACGACGGCTGTAGCAAGCGACTGCATGGTCATAGCTGCGCTAGGCACGAGTTCATCTGTTATGCTAACTCGATTCTGGAAAGTAGGGTTTGGTGAAAGGCCGTAGTCGATATTCGGTAGCGAAATCAGGCGCAAATTTCGGAGTGTTGGATGGCGCGCAATGGAAGCCTGTCACTGGTTATTAAAATGTTTGATACCGATTCTGGGCTTCAAAAACCTACCAAGAATCCTTCCAAGGCATTAGGCACATGATAAGAGCTCGGTATTGTGAGCGTGAAATCTGCGCCGAGAGATTGTGAGCTGCCCATCTCGATTGGTGATATGTGTACAGCCAGTTGCTCTGAATGCGGAGCGGATGATAACATAAGAGACAGATCTTGTGCGGAATAGTATGTAGAACCTTCCGGATTGAAGCTCAGGCCGAGCTTTCGTAATGTGCTACCATGTCGAACGATGTGTCGAGTATTCACCATTCTGGCCTGTCCTGTGCATATCCAAAGGCGTTGAAGATTTGAACAGGACATGAGCACATCTTCAATCAGCCGAACGTCTTCATCTGGGGTGATCTCGTAGCCTCGCAATACAATTTCCAACCCGATTAGATTACAGATTTGAGAAAACTGGGCCGCAAGCGCTGCAAGAAATGGCCCTACGTGACCACAGTCGTCGATTGAGAGCGATCGAAGTCCCGAGAAATTGACGTATGCGAGTATAGTCTCGGGTCGAGGCAGCTTCAAATCGAGTATTCGGAATTGCAAGTGTGTTAGCTGCAGTGGCTGCACAATAACACCGTCTGCAAATGGACCACCAAAAGCGTCACACCCCTTCGAACTACCGAGAGAAGCTTCATCGTATCTCCTAGTAAGTCCCAGAGGTTCTTCGGGCATAATGCTGAGCTGACGAAGCTTCGGAGAGTTCCTTAGCAAGTATGCGCAGTTTTCGTGAGCGCAATCCACCGAGCCAACGTGGACCTGTATCGTCCTCAATTCGCGCAGCGCAGCGGAAACCCAGGACGCATGCGTAGAGACTTGAAGATCGATCAAAAGGTTCCGGTCTGATAATCTCGTAGGTATCTCGAGACGATCAAGTGTCCTCTGATGGCGAAGTAGATTGAGCAAAAACCCGGGATCAAAATTCATATACGTACAGAAAGAAAGCAGAGTGTCTCTCGGTAATGCAGTTATGATGAGTTGGATCGCAGACTCGAACTCCTGAGAGTGACCTCGGAGTGACATTCGTGGGCCGTGGTAGACTAAAATTCGACGGACGTGGTGAAGTATACCGTTATCGGGATCTAAAAGGGCCATCGTCTTCGCGGTTGACATCGTTGTGGGTGTTAGGTCGAGCGAAAACCACATTTGGGGCGCCATGATCTGTTTGCAATCGCGGCTCACAAGACAAACAGCTGCCTGTACCTTTTTTAATCTGATGTAAGAGAAGATGCTTGTCTTCAGTTCGTTGGGAAGACTCGCGAGGTTAGGTGCGCAGGCCATATTCGGTAGCAGTTGAGGATTCTCAACGTAGTCCTTCGCTGGTAGTGCTCAGTTGGGTGGGTAAAGTGGCAGGGAGGAGTTCGTGGTATTCCTAGGCAGAAGCAATCGGGGACCGTGCACCCAGCGTTCACTTCCAAGTTGACTAGTAGTGAAAGGCTATTGCGGAGCTATGACGTCCAGCAACACACAAACTCTCGAGCCGTGACAGTATGCCGGGGCTGCCGAGTCAAAATAAGCTCCAGAAATACGGTACCCGTGCCAGCTCAGCACGAGCAGTGAAGACATCGTCACGGATGTGGCGACATGGGATGTAGAACAAATACCTAGTATCAAAAGATGATTCCATGCAGTCTCCCTGACCACGCACTTCGTAGTAAGTGTAGAATGCATAAACCTTACACGGTATTGATACAGCATCGCGCATGGAAAGACCGACTGTGGGGCGTCGCGACACATTCACTTGCTGCTACTGCGCGCGTGCGCGGTGTATTCACCTAGTAACATTTCGGTTATGGGCTTCGAGAACAAAGGCGGCCAAGGAGTATTCTTCAATATCGCGTGTCGTAGCATAGCAAGCATGCCATAGTGGATGAAAGAGGTTGGCAAGTGCGACGCGTCGTGGGCAGGAGACGCGTCGCTAGCGGCCGAGGTTCGCCCACGACGTCATAGGCGCCTGTCAAAGGGGTCCACTCGCAACTTCGCCGCTGCCACTTCTATCACTACTGCGAGATCTTTGCACCGATTTTGTGTGAAGCTGAAGCGACGGACAAATACAAGTGTGTCATAAGCAAGCAACCTTCAGCTGCACGCATCACGAGCACTTTGAGGCACGGACATGGACATTGTATCGAGGTAAGCTGCATCTGGAATCACTTGAGACTGGTCGCACATCGTAATGTACGGCGATATGCATTCGCTGAGATTTTTGGCACTTCGCTGATGGGAGTAGTGAACGCTAGGTGAAGACTAGTAGCCATGCCAGAAAGGAAACAACGATTGAAGGCCTGCCTCATGCGTCCCATGCTCCCGATCTGCCGAGCGATATCCGTATAACCATAAGCGCTGATAGCCCATATCATCGGGAAGATCGAAAAGACAGGACGTATCAGCGGAAGTGACGACTAGTCTGCCCAGCCGATAAAGTTGGCAGATGGGATAGGAGGGGCGACTTGCGCTCCATACCGGCCTTTGTAGTTACCCGACGGAGAGTAATTGCAGACTGTGTACTTGTTCATGGCCGAACCTATGCCGTTGACAGTCATGGCCCCACCACAATCGAGAGAGACGCATCCGACCTTGGTGGTGTCCTTCCACACCATCTGTGTAAGATGACCGACCTTCTCGAAGACCTCATGGGGTAGGTCACTCTTGCCAAACCAAGGTGTCATATGCGGAAGCTCGCCATGGTACCAGGTCTCCGATATGCCCGCCGTAACATTGAACGCGTCGCCAGAAACAACAAACAAGTTTTGACCTTGGCCGGCGCCCTGTGGGGTGAAGTGCTCGAAGTCGCACCTGCTAGCAGCAATGCGCGCATTCGCCTCGCACGCGGAGTCCCAGGTCAGCGGAGCTGCATCGTGATTTGCACGAACGGCGTTGTGATGGAACAGTATAGCAGCTTGATAGTCGGGGCCAGAGGAAAGGTAGGCCTGGTCTTCGCCCGACGGATGCTTCTGAACTGGATCGGCAGGCTTGGGCGCAGGACTGTAGCTGGGCACAGGTGCTTGTGACATAACGGGAGCATCAGGAACCTTGGAAGTCGAGGGCTCAGGCTGAGGGGCAGGCTGGGGCATCGGCTCTGGGGTTGGAGTGGGCTCGGGGCTAGCGGTAGTGGATAGCGCCAAAGAGGTGGATGTCGGCGGAGTGTAGCCTCGAGTAACCGTGACAACGACCGTCTGTATGATCATCTTGGTCTCATAGACGACTCCTGGCTGCCTTGCATGGATGTGCGGATGAGCGAGGATACCTGCGGCCAGAACTGAAGCGACAAGAATGAAGTGATGCATCTTGGAGTGACTGGAGGCGCTTGGGTACGTAGTAGTCTTGAGTAGTGTCGAAACCAGATCACCGTAAGGAGAGGATAGAAAGACTGTTTGTTATGTTAGACATAGTCTAGAATGAAGAGTAATGTGGCTACCTAGTTGCTAGCTTCCTGGGAGCTGTGAGGTGCTGAAGTGCGACTGGCGCGACTGGGATAAAGAAGTGAGTGTAGTTGCACGAAATGTAAAGAGAGTGTATCCTGTCAGACAAGCTGCGCAAGGAGGAAATCGAGGGAGCGACAGATGAAGGAGTGTGGGGTGGTTGAGTCAAATCGTGGTGGAGAGGGGAGGGAGGAGGGAAGCTGTTGATTGTTTATCAGTACCGGATTAGGCGAGAGTAGCTACGGTGAGGCAGGAGCGACTACCACAAGGTGAGAGACAACCCGAGCGCACCTGGGAAGCCACTATCACGCTCATTGTGAGAAGACGAGGGTATCTGTAACGGAGGCGATGCCATTGATGGCAGTCGGATCCTGCTGGCCATCGCTCAGG